AGCCAAAATCTACTTATTTAGGATGAAATCCAAATACAGAACAATTTTATTACCTATAGTCTACATGGTGTACACCAGGGGTCCCCAGTCCCTGGGCTGCAGACCTGTACTGGTCTGTGACCTCTTAGGAACCAGGCCACATAGCAGGAGGTGAGCAGCTAGCAAGCCAGCATTAACGCCTGAGTTCCACCTCCTGTCAGATCAACCCTGGCATTAGATTCTCACAGAAGTGGAACCCTATTGTGAACTGCGCATGCAAGGGATCTAGCCTGTGTGTTCCTTATGAGAATCTAATGCAAGATCATCTGGGGTGGACAGTTCCATTTCAAAACACCCCCACCCTCCTCCACCCCCACCAGTGGAAAAATTGTCTTCCATGCAACTGGTCCCTGGTGCCAAAAAGGTTGAGGACTGCCAGTGTATACTCTGTCTCTAGACTTGTTCATCCTACATATCTCCTACATTTTATCCTCTGACTTACATCTCCTTATTTCCACCCCAACCATGGTAAACGGTTTCATTTTCTCAGTATTTTTTTTCAGATTCCATATATAAATGAGATCATCCATATTTTTCTTTATGTGTCTGGCTTATTTCACTTAGCATATTGTCCTCCAAGCTCATCCACATTGTGGCAAAAATGGCAAGGTCTCATTGTTTTTCAGGCTGAATAATATTCCACTATATTGTTTCTTTTTCCATTTGTCTGTCAGTGGACGCTTAGATTGTTTCCATATCTTTAGTATCATGAATAATGCTACAATAAACATTAAAGTACAGGTATCCTCACAAGGTGACTTTTATTTCCTTTGGTTATATGCCCAGGAGAGGGATTGTTGGGTCATAGAGTAGTTCTATTTTTAATTTATTTAGAAACCTTCATAGAATTTTCTGTAATGGATATACCAATCTACATTCCCATGGGCAGTCTACCCTTTTCTTCTCACTCATGTCAAAATTTGATATCTTTTGACTTTTTTGAAACAGCCATCCTGATAAGTGTGAAGTGGTATCTCATAGTGGTTTTGATTTGCATTTTCTTGATTAATGATGTTGAGCATCTTTTCATATACCTGTTGTTTATTTTTATGATTTCTTTTATTAAGTGTCTATTCAGATCTTTTGCCCATTTTTAAATGTTTTTCTTCCATTGAATTGTCTTAATTCATTATAAATTTTGAATAATAACCCCTTAGTAGATGTGTGCTTTGCAAATATTTTTTTTTTCCCAATCCCAGAGGCTGTTGTTTCAGTTTGGTGATTGTTTCCTTTACTGTGAAGGGGCTTTTTAGTTTAATGTAGTCCCGTTTATTTGTTTTTGCTTTTGTGGCTTGACCTTTTGGTATGACATCCAAAAATTCTTTACCAAGGCCAACCTTCAGAGGTTTTGAACCTATGTTTTCTCAAAAATAAATCTAAACATATACAGTGGACTGATTTTTTTTTTTACAAGGGCACCAATAGAACACAATGAGGAAAGGACAATCTTTGCAATAAATTGTGCTAAAAAAAAGCTGGATTTCTATATGCAAAAGAATGAAATTGGACCTTTATCATATATCATATGCAAAAATTAACCCAAAATGGATGAGACCTAAATGTAATAACAGAAACTCTGATGTTATTTCAAAAATATTTTTACATGAGTTTTTATTCTTTCATTTTGTTTTTCACATTCTCAATTGAAATGCTATTTGCATACAATGAAATAATAGTTCCTAAGAGTGCAGCTTGATAAATTTTAATAAAAGTATACCTCTACCTCCAACAAATATAGAGCAATTCTGTCACCCCAGATGTTTCCTTCATGCCACTTTCCAGCCAGTTCAACACCAGGCTCTGTTCCCAGCATACAACCACTCTTATGAACTCTAACACCATATATTATTTTTGCTGCTAGAATTTTGTAATAGTGGAATCTAACATGATGTATTCTTTTATATCTGGCTTCTCAAATGTCTGTTAGATACACCCAGGTTGTTATGTCAATCAGTGGCTAGTTCCTTTCTGTTTATGTATAAACTTGTTTATCCGTTCTTCTAGGACGAGCACTTGTTTACATTTGGCTTAATGGTGATTGTGAATAAAATGTCATGAACATTCACGTGCAAGTTGCTTTTATGAACATATGTTTTTAATTCCCTTGGATAAATACTTAGCAGTTGAATTACTGGATCATAGTGGAACTGTATGTTTAACTTTATAAATAACTGCCAAATCTTAAAATGATACTGCTGTATCATTTTAAACTGCCAACAGCAATTGCACTAGTAATTCCACATCTTCTTCAGCATATACCATGAGTTTTCTTTTAGTTTTAGCCATTCCGAGGTATGTGTATACGTGTGTGTGTGATTTACCATTGATTTGATGGAGTTCTTTATAGATTATAGGTATTAATCATTTTTCAGAAGTAAGGAGTGTTTTCTCTCAGCCTGTGGCTTATCTATTCAATATTTAAATGTGTTTGCATCAGAAGGAATTTTTTTTTCTCATCTTTTTTCTTTTTTTTTTTTTTTACTTTAAGTTCTGGGATACATGTGCAGAATCTGCAGGTTTGTTACCTAGGTATACGTATACACATGCCATGGTGGTTTGCTGCACCCATCAACCCATCATCTCCATTAAGCATTTCTCCTAATGATATTCCTCCCCTTACCCCCACAGGCCCTGGTATGTGATGGTCCCCTCCCTGTGTCCATGTGTTCTCATTGTTCAACTCCCACTTATGAGTGAGAGCATGCAGTGTTTGGTTTTCTGTTCCTATGTTAGTTTGCTGAGAATGATGGTTTCCAGCTTCAACCATGTCCCTGCAAAGGACATGAACTCATCCTTTTTTATGGCTGTATAGCATTCCATGGTGTATATGTGCTGCCAT